GAGAGAGGGAGGGAGAGAAAAAAAAACGATCATTTTTCAAGCTTTTAACATTAACTACTTAAAAATGATCATAAAGTAATTATTGGTTAAGGGACGGAAATAAGTAATTAAATAAACCAGCATTTGATTGTTCCAATAAATGTGAATTTTTATTTTTTAAGGAAAGCATTTTTATCCATTAAAAATGAAAATAAAAGAATTTCGAACTTTTAAATATTACTCAGAGTAATACTGCAATTTAATAAAATTTCAAAAAATTTGAAAGAGAAATAGAAAAAAAAAAAAAAGAGAATGCGACGATATGTGACAGGTTTTCTTCTCTTTTTTTTTCTTGCCTTTTTTTTTTCCATATTTAATAATTTAGCTTCTGTCAAAGAATATTAACTTCATCTAAGTTGATTGTCACATATACATATGTATGTATGTCATCATTGTAAATATTCCCTCAAATATCTAAAATTATTATTATTAGAAAATGTGAAATTAAAATTTTAACATATTAAACTATAACAATGCTTAATACAAAAGATTAATCACATTTATTGATCAATATTTTGCTGATTACTTTATATCAATCAATATTTTGCTGATTATTTTATATCAATCAATATTTTCTGATTACTTTATATCAATCAATATTTTGCTGATTACTTTTTTATTGTTTCATTTTCTTTTTTCTTATGATCAAAAATTTAATTTAAATTAAATTTTTTAAAATGATATTTATTACAGGAAAATGATGGAAATTTTCAATGGAAAATGTTAAATTTAAAAACAAATATATGAAAATGTATAAAAAATAGTTAATCAAATTTAAACAAACCAAATTCGTTTTCGTATTTATTGAAGAAGTTGCTGATATGTTGTGAAGAAGAAGAAGAAGAGGAAAAATGAAAATAGGATTGAAAAGGAATGAAATTTCATGGAATTGAATGAATAAATCCTTCTTCTTCTCCTCCTCCTCCTCCTCCTTTTTAAGTTTATATGCTAGTAGTGCTAACAGTATGTGATGTCCTTTTTTTGCAAAGCATCTCTCTTCCTTCCTCTTTTAAAAGCACTACTCATTATCGTTATCATCATTATCATCAAATATTTCTTCGAAAATACTACCATACACATACACACATACATACATACATACATATACACACATATAAACAGATGACACTTAATCAAAGTGGCCAAGTGATGTGTTATATATTTGTATTTGAAGCATATTTTATATATATATATATATATATATGTATATATACTGCAATCGAAATAAACATTCGTAGACTGCACACACATACACATACATACACACACACATACAAACATACATATACGCACACACACACACACACACACACACACCCACATATGTATATATATATATATACATACACACATAAACAGAATGACACTTAATTAGAGCGACCAATTGATGTGATGTATACTTGTGTGTAAAATATAATATAGTGAAAGTATAAGCATGCATTCTTTTTTTTTGCATGCTTACTTCGGATGCATGCAATAAGAAAATTTTTGATAAATTCAAATTTTCATTCATTAACATTTTTGCATAAAGCAATTAAGAAGTAACATGACAATGATAGATAAGTGTAAAAAGAATTTAAAGAAAATGAAGTAAATCATAATTATTAAATATTCTTTACTAACAATAAAATACTTATTAATATTTTGTTAATTGAATTTTTGATTAACTAATATATTGTAAGAGAGAGAGAGAGGAAGAGAGTAGAAAAAATTATTTTATTTGTTAATCTTTGGAATTTTATAATTAAAATGACAAACATATGACCATTTTATGCAATTTATTGCTTAACCAAAAAAAAAAAAAAGGAAAAAATTAAATTAAGAGAATATATGAAAGGAAGAAAAATGAAAATCATTAATTAGAATTTAACAAAGGACAAAACAAATTTACATTTATCAAACTGATAAAATAAAAATATAAAATATAAACAAGATTTTTAACTAGGAAATAAAAAAAAAACTAAATGAAATAAAAAGTATTGAAGCGCAGAAGTATTTTTATTATTTTTATCATTATTATTATTATTATTATTACTATTATTATTATTATTATTATTATTATTATTATTATTATTATTATTATTATTATTAATTATTATTATTATTATTATTATTATTATTATTA